TCCTTAGAATGTGGAATAGCCTTTGAATGGTGTTGTCTACTTTGTTCTTTCACCGCATCCAGCACCAGGGAATTGAGGGCTAGGTGCGTGAACAAAAACTTGGAATCTTTAGCAGGAACATAGTTTTTTCTTTTTTCTGTCCTCTTACAAGTTGGAGGTATGGGAGCTGGGGTTTGCCAAATTGTTTTAGCAGGTTCAAGCAGGGCTTTGTTTGTAGGTAAGACTACTCGACCAGAAGTGGCAATATATAGAACATCCAAGAGTTTGTTCTGGGTCTCCTGAACGTCCTCTGTGGGGATTCTGGAGGGAGTCAGGAATTCTCTTTGTGAGCACTTGGAAGTGCTTAAAATCATCCACATGTGATGGAGGTGGCAGCATTACTGCCTCATTAGGAAGAAATGTTAGTCTGCAGAGTAGACGGTGACAGATGAGGCCCTGGTACCAAGAGTCTTTCCATATCCGTCAGTAGAGGGGATTCCAGTTCATCCAAGACAAACAAGTCCCTGGAAAATCTAAACTCCTGTGGTACCAGGTGAAAGTGTGCAGAACTCTGATGATGCTCTGTGGATGACTTTGGCTTTGCAAACTGATCAATCAGTGCTATCAATGTCGACTTGGATACTGCAGGCAACTTGGAAGCAGGGGACTTATAAGTTCCTGAAGCCTTAGCTGAGGGACCCTCGGTATCAGGAGATCTTGGGAGCCTCAGTGGTATCCTTTCTGGGATGCGAGATCTCCAAAGCAGTGGGTCTCTGTGGTGACCTTGGTTTCCTGGCACCATCTTCTTTTTGAGGTGATCTGGAGCTCCTCTTTCTGGAAGTCTTGGTGTCATCCTCTGTGGTTCTCTCCCCAGTGAGTGAGTGGGCTGCAGAGGTTGATGGGGCGCCGTGCAAACAGGGAGACCGCTATACCTGGCAGAAGAGGGGGTATCTGGGCCTGGATCTGAGGCAAGGTGAAGGGAGCGCACCATTGTGAGAAGCCTAAACTTAATCTCCGTGTTTTTTCTAGGCCTACTCTTAAACCCTGAACAACTTTTACACTTAGATGGGAAATGGATGTCCTCTAAGCTGCAGACACAGTGACAGCGACCATCAATAACTGGGACAGAATCCCAGCAAGTGAGACAATGTTTAAATCCAGAGGATTTAGGCTTAACACAAAGATAACATCCTTCAAAGAAGGAAAGCATGCACCCACTCACCCATTCCCCACGGTGGGAGGGGGAGAAATGAGCAGTCTCAAAGAAGTTTACAAACATACAAACAAACAAACCTTATACAACTGGTAAAAAGTAAAAAGGGGGGCTAAAGTAAGCTCTAAACAATAAAGTAAAAACTAGAAGCTATTCCCTACGAAAAAGGTAACTATGACATAGGCATCACAAAATGCTTCATCTCAGGCCTAGGCAGCTGAGAAGAAACTGAAGGCTGTTCATATACCCTCAGTATGGGGAATGACAGCTAGTGCTCATGGGTGGATTGCAAGGCACTGCTACCAAAAGTCTCTAATCAAAGGCACATGGGGCATGTGCACCTGAAATTGAGCACCCATAGGACATAAAAAATAAGTTACTAGAGAAAATTCACCAAATAACTAGAGTTCTGAAAGAAAATGAAACATAGAAAACCAATGTCTGAACAGCGCTTCATGACTGAAAGTTCTATTGATAGGCAGAAGAAAATATGAACTAAAGGAATAGGAGGGCACCATACACTCCTGGTATTCAGACATGTCTGCATATATTCTGCCCTCCACCCAATACTAATAGCCTTTGATGTTTGAGTGACATGTAGACTAAGAATGGGAAGCTGTGGAGGAAATGTCTTCAAGACCCACCACCTTTTAGAACAGGGGTTCTCAAACCGGGGGTCGGGACCCCCCTCAGGGGGTCGCGAGGTTATTCTGGTGTGGGGGGGGGGGGGTTGCTAGCTGTCAGCCTCCACCCGAAACCCGCTTTTCCTCCAGAATTTATAATGGTGTTAACTATATAAAAAGTGTTTTTAATTTATAAGGAGGTGTTGCACTCAGAGGCTTGCTATGTGAAAGGGGTCACCAATACAAAAGTTTGAGAACCACTGTTCTAGAATCTAAGCTTGAATTAAAAAAAAAGTTTCTAACCCTTTTCGATGTTAGATCTTTCTAATGCAGAAAAACATGCTAACATCCTTCTGAGTATGCAGACATGCAGATTATTCCTACTGACTACATGTAACTTCTGCCCAATTTATCTTTATGCCTTCTTCAGCTCTGACCTCATCTTACTCCTCTCCAGTCCATCCAGAATGTGGAAAGATCATCTTTCATGTGTTCTTCTCACCATTCATGTATTTCTCTGAATCTCCCTATGGCTCTCTCTTTTCTACCTTTTTCTAGTCAGATTCAAACTTTTTGTACTCTGCTTGAAAACTGCATAAATTTAACTCTACCCACATTTCTGCTTTTTAATCATGAACATCTCTTCTAGGGTGACCAGATCACCAAAGACAAATATCGGGACGCGGGGGGGGGGGTGACGTGGGGGGGCGTGGCGGGGGGCGGGGCCAAAAAAAAACCAAAACAAACCTTCCTCCGCAAGCGCTGCAGGGAGGCCCGGGAGACTCGGGGGAAGCGCGGGGCCGGGGTGAGTAAGAGTCCGGCCTGGTCCCTTGCAGGCAGGACTCAGTTGGGAGGTAGGGCGAGGAGGGGGGCGGCCCGCGGGGGCCAGGGCCGGCGGCT